AGGGAAGCAGGGGGAAGATGCACACTTCCAAAAGCAATGTGTATGAGACAAAAGTCCATCTTCACATCTACCTTCCCACTGCTCATCCAACCTTACCTGCCATTAGGACTTTAAGAGATGAAAAGCGATCTAGCTCCTGCCCTGTAGGTAGCCACAGGACGCTGGAACTCCTCAGACCTCCCGCGGACTTTCGTTGCTTAGCAAACCTCAGCGGCTCTTCTTGGATTGCGAGGCTTGTGCGGGCAGAAGGTGTACTTGATACATGGTATGTTTCGATGGTGGCTGTTGCTGTTGCTAATGCTCCTAGCATTTCAATCAATCTCGGTTCTCACTATGCAAGCTACTGCTGGTTGCTATGATCGATGTTCGTAATTGTGACGTCGGCGGTGGTGCTTGTGGTGGTTGTCCTCATCACGGTATGGGCATCTGTTATTGGGTGTGCATCTACGGCAGCGGTTTGGAGTCTGCGGCACGTTCAAGGCACATCGGGCACCTTCATTTACGGGCAGAGCTGGTTCTATATTTCAGAGTCTCTGCTCTCTTGCTGTCGTGGAACGGAGACTTAACAATGTTGTCGTTACCCTTGAAAGGGGTTCCGTTCACCTAATGTAGGGGCCTTAATAATTAGTCCAGGGTTTTGAGGCCCATTGTACTAGAATCATGAAAAGGAATCCCCAAAATAGTATCGGTAATAATTTAGGGCCCCTCAGCTACCTTCCAGTCGAGCAGGACATGGTGAGCCCAAGTGCAGCCTGGAGGATCTTCAAGTCTAAGCCCAAAGCTCAACAACCCTAAACCTTAAACCCTAGACCCCTAAAGCCCTAAATCCTAAACCCCAACCCTAAACCTGAAAAACTAAACCCCTAAACCCCCAAATCCCAAGATCCCAAACCCCAACCCTAAACCTTGAACTCTAAATCCTGGCAGCTGAGTTACCTTGCAGGAAGAAGAAGAAGGAGACCTCGGAAGCATCGACGCCCTGGCTGTACCTCAAGCACGGAAGTTGCACATCGAGTCGTGAATCCTCGTGTTTCAGCAGGGTTTAGTAGTTTAGTGGCTAGCAGGTTCAGAGTTGAGGATTCCAGATTCAAGATTCAGATTTTGGACTTGAGGTTTAACATCCATGAAGTTTGTGTAGAGCTTAGGGTTCGGGGTTTGCTGCACAGGACGGCTGTCTGCTGCTCGGCTTCCGAGTGGAGTTCAGCCAGCTGGGGCTGACTAATCCTTCCTGCCTCTGAGCACCCGACACAAATCTTGATGCCACCCATGCACCTGCCGGGGTGCCCTCATATATATATATATATTTGTACTATATTAGATGTATATATATATATATATATATATACCAATCGAACACCCTTTCTTGGTATCAGAAGCTTGCAATCAACGCGAAGCTGAACATGCACCTGCCTGGCACTTCTGCAGGTTTCGGCACATCCACCCGAACTTCTAGTGTAGGAACCTGATTCAGAAACCTTGGGCCTTTATTAGGATTCCTCCTTATAAGAACCCTACTATTCGGGGGTTACAGGGCCAGGGTCTCTTAATCAGGTTCCTACGTTAGACTCTTTGAAACTTGTGGAGGAGACCATCCAAGGCTTCAAACTGTGGTACACCACACCAGAAGACTGCGACGCCCATGCTTTTGTCCTGGCAGCCCGAAAATTGCCATTACTGGAACGGACTACCTTCGACCGGTGACCGTCGTCAGTGATAACTATACAGCAAGAGAGCGAGAGAGAGAGAGAGAGAGAGAGAGAGAGACAGACAAAGAGCGAGGCGAGCAGGCTGATATTAGTGACAAGACAGTCATGCCCGCCTACGATAGCCTCGACGTAGTTGCTAGGCACCCGCTGCAGAATTCCTCCCGGAAACAGGTAGTTGCGAACGCTGCTCCACTGTAGTCCATGGTCGCTCTCATGATTGTATACCGAAGGGTGCACAAAAGCTGCATCAGTGATGATACTGTAGTACAACAAGTACAACAACGCTAACACTAACCACGAGAGCAGCAACACCGGCAACAGCAACAACTACAAGCAAGGACAACAGCAACAAAGCGACATCACAAACATCAACACCAACATCATCAACAAGCAACAACAGGAATCATCACGACACAACAGTAAAGAACAATAAACAAACACCACGACACGACAAGACATCACACGAACGACAGCAGCGGCAGCTTCAACACAACTACAACGACCCACCACCGCCGCCGCCGCCACCACCACCACTACCACCACCAACAACAACAACGACGACGACGACCACAACCACCATCATCATCACCACAACAACAACAGCCACACGACGGCGACCACGACGACGACGACGATAAGGATGACAACACAACGAGGCTTTGGGATAAATCTTTGCAACTTATAGGTAAGATACTGGATATACGTAATGTTTCGGACAGGAAAATCCCACTGTCTCTCACCGTACCTGTATCGAGTCTATCCGCTCAAAGCGAGTTAGTGCTATCGCTTTCTTCGGGCATAGTCCCAGACTCTATCAGCCACGCATCAGCCGAGGTTGGGCCAGGGTCCTTCTACCCCGAGATGCTGGACCATGACGGGAGGGACAGCTCGCTGAAGTACGAAGCGGATCAACCTGACGATCAACGAGCTACGCCCGAAGCTTCACATCTTGTGGTCGGCTAGCCCAAAGAAAAAAAGTCACAACCGCCCTCCAGGAGTCTCAAGTCTTTCCACTGAGTCAAGATGTCAGGTCACACAACACGCACTGCCTACATGTCCGCTGCGGCTCTGTCACCCTCGATTAGACGTAGTCGCCCATCGTCCAGGCAGGCGAACCGAAGTACCGCCGGGGGAATACCCTCTGCTCTTTGCAACCTGATTATGTTAACCATTCTGCATACAATCAACCCAAATCCCTACACTGTTGCCCTACATCACCTCTGCCAGACCTTTGGAGACTTTGCGGTCTGTCGCGATTTAGGGTTTAACCCCAACGTGAGTCTAGCAAAGTGGCTGGTCACGGTCCGAGGCCGTCATTCGGCTGCATTGGGCCATGATGCCATCTTGAAGATGGTTGATTTTGCCTTGGCGACTTTAGGATTTAGGGTCTAGGGCTCCTAGAACTCACGGTTTTGGGGTTTCGCCTTGGCGACTGTAGCTGTAACAAGCCGATTTCTGGGATTTAGGGTTTAGCGCCACTTGAACTCAGCGCCTGAGGCCAACGCCTGCTCCCTTTGTTGTCGCACTTGCCAGCAACAAACAGACCATAAAGATTGAACCTGTAAACCGCCAGCCCTTGCTGGCTCATCCTGCGTTCCCAAGCCCCTAAACTCCGAATCCCTCGACGTAATTTTTCAAGGATACCCCGCGACAGGAAGCCGGCAGGTGCAAAGGTGTACATTCCGAAAAGCAAAGCAACGCTACGCAGGACACTGCAGGGGTTATTGTTCAGCCACCCAGTCTTAGGCTACAGCAGAAACATCGCTAACAGTCCAAAAATTGGGCTATGGTATACCATGGCTCTGGCATACCATAACAATATCCGAGCCACGGGTATACCCAGGTTAGGATCCCTGCCAGGGTCCCTTTACGATGGGTGCCGGATCATCTTAAGGACCTAAACAGGGACCCTACTTTAGAGACCTGCTAATACAGTACCCTTAAAGAAACCGTGTAGAAACCATTATAGATCCCTTTAAGGAAACCTTAAAAGGGACCCTATAAACACCCGTATAGATCCCGTTAAGGAACCCTGAAAAGGGACCCTATAGAAACCCTTATAGATCCCTTCAAGGAGCCCTTTCAAGGGACCCTGAAAGAATGACCTGAAACCTAAACTCTTTGAGGAACCCTAAAGAATCCAAAAAGGGGACTCTAAAAGACAGCCCCAACCCTCTAAGGAACCCTGAAAAAAGCCTTAAAGCCCCTATAGTACCCCTTTAAAGGAACCCCTGAAAAGCCCCTTACAACCCCCATGATACCCCTTAAAGGACCCTAAAACGAAAAGACCGGGTCGAGGATCCCGAGATCATCTTCGTGGCCTGAACCTTCGAGAGACCCAGGCCGGTGTTGCATTTCCTCGGGGCCCAAAGTGGCATTTTTAGAGGGTCCCTTTTAAGGTTTCCTTAAAGGGATCTATAAGGGTTTCTACACGGTTTCTATAAGGGTACTATAGTAGCAGGTCTCATGGCTCTCAGTTTTCTGTAGATGAAGTGGCGCTTCCGACTTCGAGGCTTCAGGGCTTTTGGGATCTGAGGGTTTAGGGGCTTAGGGTTTAGAGCTTTCGGGGTTTGAGGGTTTAGGGGTCTGAGGGTTTAAGGGTTTACTGGTTTAGGGTTTAAGGCTTTTGAGGCTTGAGGGTTCAAGGTCTCACGAATTTTGGGTTTAAGGGGGCCGTCTGACGACTACGGGAGCTTAGGTTTGATGGGACTCAGATTGTTTGGGAATTTTTAGGTTGGCTCCTAAGGACAAGACAAGCATCCAGATTGCGCGGAACTCCCGCCGGGCGTTCTCCACAATGGTCTCCTGTGGCTGGGGTTTGGTTGACACTTTCTCTTCAGTGGTGGGGGCCGGGGTTGACGACTTCGTAGCCTTGAGCTTACGAGTTTAGGGACGGGAAGCAGCTGAGTCGTGCTCTTGTGCAAGACAATATGCCCCGTTCGCATCACATGCAAATCCTCAGGATGAATGCATCGAAAGCAGCCATTGTTCAGGCTAGAGACGAACCCCGGTTTCATCTGCAAGTTAGTTCGGGACACGTGGGCAGATTGGCGGGCACATGGAGGTCCAAGACAACTCCCGGATGACGCCCTGGAGCAAAAACCCAAGACGGAAATGAGCTGTTAGGACACGGATTTCGAGTGTATACCTTCAGGCTGTAGGGAATGCATTGTGCTATCGTTGAAGGTACACGAAATCGGCATGGCAAGTTTGCAGCAAGTTGGCTGTTCGAGCAAACAATGCATCCTGAAGTAGAACCAATGAAACCAAATTTGATCGCCAAAACCGCTGTTCTCAGACCACCACCGCCTGGATTTGCTTGACATACGTCTCGTAAAACTCAGGTGGTATGCCGCCACAGGCCGGATTGTAGCACATCATGGCGGAGTGATCCTGTGGACGGGACAGTTTGCTGTGTATCCGTGCGTGCATGCATTGGCGGATGCCTTTCTGTCAGTCAGTCTGGCTGTCTCTGCTGGTATATAGGTATGTATGTAGCCATGCATGTTGTACAGCTGCCGACGCGGCATCTGGCCAAACAGGTCGCGACAGGTTCCTCTGTTTAGAGTTGTTGCTGAAAGGCAAGGAACTTCAGTACATACTGAGGCCGTAGGATGCAGTCAACTCTGACTGAGAGACTCTTCGCGAATGCATGAAGTCAATATACCGATGTAGGCATGTAATTGTTTATGTATGTGTATGTATGGATGGAGGTATGTGTGCATGCATGTAATTAGTTAGTACTGTACGGAAACAGGTATGTAGGTATGGCTGTAGAAAGGTAGGTAGGCATATGCATGTATGAAAGGACGTCTGCATGCCTGCATGGTTTAGAAGAAGAGATGAATGCATCTATGAATGTATGTACGCATGAACGTATGTACGCATGAACGTATGTATCTTTGTATGTATGTATGTATGTGCAACATATCTGTGTTAACATATGTATATAGTCATTTATATACGTATACACTTACATACTTATATGCATAAGTCGCATAAGTAATTACATGTATACATACAAACACACATGCACATCTGCAGACCGATCGACAGAGGGACAACAACTCGTCTATTCATCTACGCCTTCACAACAAGGACCACATGCTATGTTGCTAAATGCTATGTGTTAGACGCATGCATACGTGACAGTATACATGGCTGAATACATGCACGTACACCCTAATCCCTGAACCTAAACACTGTAAATTATAAACCCTAAAGGGTTTAGGGTTTAGGGGTTTTAGGGTTTAGGGTTAATTATAAATCCTAAACTTCCGTAAACCCTACTTTTCTGGGAAATCTATACTTCGACCAACTGCACCAGAGCAGCTTTTGCTGCTCAGTAGGGGGCTGGGCAGTATCGAATCTAGAGCCCTAAAGGCCCCCTTTGAAAGGGGTCTGTAAGGATTACTATAAGAGTTACTGTATAAGGGTTATAGTATCGAGGGTCTAGTACTTAGAATAGGGTTTGGGGGTAAATAATACTATAAATATAGTAATAAAGGAACTCCGAAATAGTATAGGTAACTACGAAGGCCCCAATATTGGAGGCTGGGGCTAAGCCAACGATACCGTCGTGGGTGTGGAGGATTTCTCGTGTAGGGTTAGCCTGTCTCCTACTAGGCTGTTTGGTCGAGTTGCACCCGAAATTCGATACTCTTCGCCCTCCTTGCCCTGAGCCCAATTTCCCTTCTTGCCTCTTCAGACAGAGCCAGTGCCGCCAGGACTTCGAGGGAGCTGGAATTCACGCCACCCTGTCCGCAGCGAGTCTCTTTAATATAGCGGCCTGAATAATTAGAATAGGGTTCAATAAATTGGGGTTTGTAAGGGATCCTTAATATAGGGGCCTGAATTATTAAAACAGGGCTTTGCGGCCCAATACAAATACATTTATGATAAGGAACACCAAAAAAACAGGTGAATATTAAGGCTTGTAATTTGGGCCCTTAAAACGTTTTCGGGTGGTTTCCGGCTCAACTTTCCCGAAAACTCCTCTACTGCATGGCCGTCCCGGCTTTTCAGGGTTCTCACTTGGGCCGAAGGCTGGTGGGTCTGATGCCAAGGTCGTTCACTCCAGACCAGAGGCCGGAAACTGGAGAGTACGATACTCAGAATTCCATTGGCCTTGTTGGTCGATGCATCCTTGAAGACGTGAACACCGGCCCCTTCAAGGACGCCTCGCATTGCGGCAAAGGGGGGACCATCTCACAGCCGGACAAATTGTAGAGCGCCCTTGCGTGTCCCGGGGGCAGGTGCCCCGCGGTTTAATCATTTCCGACCATATTTAGCTCCCTCGGAAACAAGCTTGCGTGCAGTCGAGAGCTGCGCACGTTCAGTTCACAACCGAGTTGTCGCCAATCGCCTCATGTGTCGTAGTACTGTCACAAGAACCCACCTGAAGGAACAACCCTCCTTCGACATGGCCTCGCGCGCGATCGGAGAAGAAGAGGTTTGCGCCCTCCACAACCATGCGGAACTTCGGCCTGCTAAGGAGAGCCGAGGAAACAAGTCAAAGGACATACCGTGGCTCCCCCAATACTGTAGTCAAAACATGCAACTCAAGGCAAGTTTGAGAAAAGAGGATGCGCGAAAAAACCGAACTCTGTGAGCACTGGTCTGACCCGGGGCCTTGTTCCATCTGCAGTGAAGAGCTTCTTGACATTATCCGTGGTCACCTTGCTTCAAGGCAGCTTGCTGAAGGGTATCTAGTCTAGTTAAGACAACACCAAGAACAACGAAGGAACACACCCTAACATCACCAAAACAAATTTGGGACAACTTGGCCCATCCCGTACACGACCCCCATAGACCTCTCTGGCTGACATCAAGATACTTATTACTTCATTCAAACTTTTGATAGGGATGCTATAATGTTGAAGTTTGTGGCAGTACTATCTCTCCCTCAGCCCAGATACAGAGCTTAGGCCCGTGCGGCGTTCGGTCGTCCACCGCAAGGCACGAAAAGGTCCGCGGATGCATAGTCCTTTGGCTGCGAAGGCTCTGCGGAGTCCGGGCATGTAATATAGAACGGCACGGTGAGATAGATTATCGTGCTTACAATACGAACATAACAACGAACCTTGAGGAATAGAGATCCTGATTAATTACTCAAGCTTCTATATATATTTGGCCACAGGGTTACGGCTCATGAAGCGCCCCCAAGATGATTGAAGTGCTTTCAAAGGCTGCAGAAGCCGACGCCTGTACATGCAAAAATCATCAACCTAACAACCCGAAATCCTATACCTAAGCTACTAAGGTCAAGGGTTAGACTCGGTGAGGTGGAAGTTGTCCCGGAGCTCTGCGCCAGTCAGCCACACAGAGCCATCAGGGAGTGTCACGTTGCTTTCCTTGGGCTGCAGGCTCCGGGTTCGAGGTATTGCTTATTCTCTCGGGTATGGTTTTGCGGCAGGGTTTATTACGGAACACTCTTCCCGATTCGGCTTCCGTACTTCTGGGGGCCATAAGCAGAAGGAAAGTTTCCTGCTAGACGCGCAAACAAGTCTCGTCTACGGTGACTAAGAAAGCACCGTTCCCGAGGAAACAGCGGTTGAACTCCTTGATGGGCACACGCTGCTGCGCCAGGCGCATCAACTCTGCCCTGCAAATGCCGCTAGGGTCGTACAGGACCCCGGAACCATCGACGACTCCTGGGCTCTTGTCCACTCTTGCATATCATTTACTATAGATCCCCATGAATTATGGTAAGATTCATCTTAAGATTTACTATAAGTCCCTATTATGGTATCTTAAACTCAACTCCTTAAAAAGAGCCTTACTATAGATCCCTATTACAGTAGCATATATTCAATTCCTTACACAAAGCCCAGATTCCTCAAACAGAGCACACATCCCCTAAAACAAGAGCCCAGATTCCGACGGTGATGTCTTTGGAAATGAGAATCTCATTGCTCCCGAGGTCTCCATCGGGGCCACCGGTCTGGAATTTCCTGGGTCGTGAGGAGTTTATAACTGCGCCCAAACTACAGAAAGCTTTATACCATCAGGAAAAGTTTACCAAAGCCATAACACGGAATCCGCGTGAATCACCAGATATCCACATCATGGTAACTTGAGTTACTAAGCTTCTTTACATCCGTGACACCTTAGAAATCGATACATTACGTTCCTTACAAGCCCAAACCCTAAACCCGACGCCACAACAAGTTTCCCAAAGAAGGCCTTCTAGAGAGTATGAGACTTAAACCAAGTTCCTAAACTACCAGCGTTTATCACCCAAAGATGTCCTAACTTACGAGATGTAACTTGGACTACTCAACTGTATATGTATCAATTTCGAAATGTATATGCATATATGTATATGTATACAAACGTGCATGTACAGTAATATGTATATATATATATACATATTATGCCTCATATGTAAGTGTACATACACCTAGTCTAAGTTCCTGAGAAAGCAGGGCCCAGCTGCGTGATCTTGGACTCATCCTCACCCAGCTCACGGAGCAGCTCCTTCACGTAGGTGTGCACCTGTGAAGTCTGAGAAAGTCGCCGAAGCGGAGGCTGGGGATTTAGCGTATTAGGCTTTAGGTTGTTTTGTTTTTTTATGTTTCTTTAGGCTCTTTTCGGGTTTTCAGGTTCACGGGCTCAAGTGCAGGGTTGAGGTCTTTTCTTTTTTCTCGTATAACGACACAGGACTTCAATGTAGCTTTAATTTAGTAGCTTCAAGGGGAACCTGTGATCAATCTCAGAAAACAAACCTGTATGAAACACCCGCGGACCATGACAACATGCTGCTGTTCGAAAAGGGCATTGTGCTGATGTTGAAATGGGCACTGTGCCACAGAATCTATCTGGTATAACAGTTCGCCCATGGACGGAGCACTGGTGCTGCAAACAACTGAGCCCAAAACGCTGGATGTCGTCATACCATAGGTATCGTGCGGCACGCCGCCCAATGCCACACTCCTTATCGCAGAAAGGCTGCATAAACACACATCTATATAGACATAGAGGTATACCGATACATCTACATATATAGATATACAGATGTATAGATATAATAGCTATATACATGTATATATGTGTATATATATATACATACACATTCATATGGACATATTTCGAAGTTGACCATCCTACGCTGTCCAACTTTGGGACCTCGGGCTTCGGGCCCTTAGCCTCCTGTACCGGAGAGCCCTCATAGGAATTCAGGGTTTAGAGTTTAGGGTTTATGGTTAGTTTGGGGATTCCTCTTCTGGGTATGGGAGCCCTCATAGGAATTAGGATTTTTTTAAGGGCTCTTTTCCACCTGCAGATACATGTATCTGCAGGTGGGATTCAGGGTTTAGAGCTTAGGGTTTATGGTTAGTTTGGGGATTCCTCTTCTGGGTATGGGAGCCCTCATAGAAATTAGGATTTTATTTAAAGGCTCTTTTCCACCTGCAGATACATGTATCTGCAGGTGGGATTCAGGGTTTAGAGTTTAGGGTTTATGGGTTAGTTTGGGGAGTCCTCTTGTGGGTATGGGAGCCCTCATAGGAATTCAGGGTTTTGGGGTTGAGGGTTTAGGGATAAGGGTGCTATAAGGGTTTGGGGGGTTTAATGTAGGAGCCTGATTAAGAAACCTCGGGGCTTTATTAGGGTTCCTTCTATGAATCCCACTATTTTGGGGTTATAGGCCCAGGGTTTTTTATCAGGTTCCTACATGAGTTTGGGGATTCCGCTTGTGGGTATAGGAGCCCGTGTAGGAAAGCCCTTTTGGCATCCACATCGCAACTAGCTGAGGGTGAGAAGCTTCCCAGTGGTCAAAGCCTTCCAGAAGGGGTATCCGCGTGCCTGGGCTGCTCGGTTCTCTTTTTTTTGAGGACCTTTTTCCATCTGCAGCACAGTTGGAGAGCTCCAATGGAGCAGGGTGCAGGTTCGCTATTTGGTCTCCTAGCCAAACCTTGAGGCAGTTGGTTTAGGTGTTAATGCATCTTCTGCATACGGGACCTGAGTGTAGCTTGGGCACCTACGCTTCAAACGCCCCGACGTATCTGCCCAGCATAGACAGCTCTCTCTTGAAAGGATCATTCGAGAATGAGACTAACCTGAGAGAAGGTCTGTACTCCCTGCATCCTTTCCGTCGTGATGCCTTGGCCACATTCGCACCCATGTCCATGAAGCCGGCAGTGTTCCTTAATGGATCGGGTGGTGACAATATGGCTAAGCACATGGTATGGACATATTGAGCAGAGCATATTCATATTCACGTAGCGGACAATTCCATCCACAACGATAGGGAGCCCGAGCTGCAGCAAGTAGGTCGACGTCGAGCGCAAACAAACGCAACAATCAGTCTAAACCCTAAACCCTGACAACTAAACCCCTAAACCTCCTTAACCCCCTAAACCCTAAACCCCTTAAACCCTAAGGCCTAAACCCTGAACCATTTAGGGTTCCAGAGCCTCCCGATGCACTCACTGCCTGGAATGTGGTTCAACAAATCATCTCCATGTGAGTGGGCTGACCGATGAATTCCTGGCTTCGTTACTTTCGGGGCCCAGTTTGCTGTAACTACAATAAGGAAGCCCCACAATGCCCCACAATAGTATTGGTAAGTGTTGAAGCCCCTAGAGCACCGACTGTTACTCATAATGAAGGAGCCCAAACCATAGTATATTCGGGAATTCTAGTATAGGTAATTATACTATGATCATAACAAGGAGCCCCGCAAGATAGTATAGGTAATTAGTTATAGTGACTGACCCCCGGGCTGAAACTCCCGTGCCGAATGGGAACTGAGGCTCTCGTCTGGACCGAAGAAGAGAAGCTCCCGGCGACCTTTGAGGTGTCCTGATTAGGGTTTAGGGCTTTTTCCCTAAACCCTAAACCCCTAAACCCTGGGGGTTTGGGGTTCAGGGTTTTAGGATCAAGGGCAACATGTGGAACTGCAGCAACCCCTAAAGGGTCCAAAGGACCCAATAATTCGATACTGGAGTTTAGGATAGCCGTTATGTAGGTTACTATCTCGAAAAGTCTATGATAATTAGGTACTTGGGCCCTTAGGGTAAGCGATGAACACACAAACACGCAGCCCCTCGTCGGATGAGTTGTCCTTACTCGGGGACTCCCCCCAATGTACACTGCATTCTTCAAGTCCTTCCTGAAAGCCCCGGGGCTGCAACACACTAAGCCCTAAACCCAAAACCCCTATACCCTAAACTCTAAACCGTAAACCCCTGAACCCTAACCCGCCCTGTAATCACGCAGTCCTGCAAAGATGCCGCTCTCTTCTGGCATCATGCAATCCAGCAGAGCATTCAGGTATCTGGTGAAGCATGACCTGCATGGCAGCGGCATGAGCTCGGTGTCGTTTGGCTTACGTGAAGCAATCTGTACTCTAAGTTCTAGCACAGGAGCCTGGACGAATAGTGACTGCTTCTTCATTAACCCGCGGTGATACGCAACAGCACAGCTAGCCAAACCCCGATTCGTGAGGCGCCCGGGCCGCTGGCGCTAGACCGTGCTCGACGATCTGAGTCCACGGCTGCATGCCCAGGGGTCCCTGAAGAGAGCCAGCGACCACATTGCCACTCCTTACTTCGGTCTTGTCGAGGCCGGGAGGACTAGAGTGGGGCTGGAGCCTAGAAGCGACTGCTTGGGAATAGCATTAGAATGTTTGCTATCGACCCTCCTGCTTGCAGAAGAAATCGGGGGAGGGGGGGTGACGTTGTGGTCAGTGTCTGAACCTTTTCAAAAATCTGGGCCTGGGCTGAATCTTTCTGCTTCGGCTCTTGTTGGGGTTTCACTAAAGATTTAGTTCATGAACTTGATGATGCCGGCAGGCGAGCCGTGATATACCAACTAAACGAACAGTAACTAAAAACATCACCATCTGATCCTGGTCGGGAGTGGGCAGTTGCAGGTTGTGAATGTAAATGTACAACAGGCTGAAATTGGCGCACCTTGCGTCGAATAAACAGCCCGCCCATACTGCGCATTGCCACATATCCGAAAAGTTGAAGTTGCAAAGTTTGGGTCCAGTTTCAAGCTTGCACAGAAATCTTGCAGTGTTCTTGCTGAGCAGTGTCTTAAAAAGTCTGAGAACCGGTACTTGCTTGACAACAAACTGTCATCTGACATGGAATCCTCCCCGGTTCCCCGATCGTTGCAAACGATCGTGGCGTTGTTCCAATGGTGGCAACATATATAGGCCCACATGACTGGCTGACTAGCGCAAACTTGAAGGGCCGTGCCAAACAAACCAGCATGCCCCGACTTTCGCGCAAAACCCGGAAATCAAGGAGTCCTGCAAACGGCCCGCATCTCATCTCATTTCAGCACGACAAATTCAGAAGACTTGATGAGACAAGGAATGCTGACATGGGTGGGCAAAAATAAGCATTTTGTTGCTGGGGTTATAGGGGACCTTTTAACGGGCTATCATGAGGAGCCATTCTCCCAAATCCTATCAAGAACCAGGCAAACAGAAAGGTATTCAAGCCAGGCATCTGTCCGTTGGGCCAGGATCGGTCTGGGAGGATGACACCTTTGGAGCCGCCTCCCAAAAAGGCTGGGATGGGGTGTCGGGACTCTCGCACCCCTTCTGATTCTGCGCGTCTGAGCTCGTGCTTCGTCACGACGCCCACTCACAACTGAATTCAAAACTTTGTCATTGCCCAATCGTCAAGCACCAGGAGCTCTTGAGAGGCTCTACTCCGGAAGTTCACCCAAGTCGTTCAGGGCACATATTCGTAATTTGACGGACGATCAGAAGGTTTAAGGAAACGTGGAAGATCCCTGCACTCTGCACTCCAGGCACAGACGCTTGGACAAATCTTGTTGCACATGTTCCGCACTCAACAAGCGCTTCGAGTGAAGCACTGGTGCAGAGCGCCTTCCGGAATGTCCTGGCTGCGAGAGTATGCATGTAAGCATCCCCAAAGCGGAACAAACGCCAGAAATGTGAGACTGTAGGATCCCAGACACCTAAGTGTAGAAATGCATGAAGCATACGTAATACATCCCACGTGCTGATTCAAGCTTTTGGCCAAGACAGTACACAAAGCAACATCAAGCTGAGACGCTGCCAATACAATCGATACAGTGCTGAAGCAGCAGCATCTCGGTCTGCTGCGAAGGCATGAGCCGCCATCGTATGTTTGGGAACAATGCCCATCAATGCACCGAGCAGAAACAAACAATCAACACCCAACGTCGAAGGCTGGAACTTTTCAAACTGAACTAGGACACAACAGGCTCATAATGCAGCTCAAGGGGGCGGCGTGTAACCCGTCTGAGAGCTCATGTAGTAAGGTCTCGTGTAAGAGAAGGATAGAACGAAGAATCAATGCACATCACGTTTCCTCGAACATCGACCTTTGGACAAGTTCCCTGAGCTTGACGGAAAGCAGGCCAGTCCTTATTCTTGTACTGTTGGGTGAAGGCCAAGTTGTAGCACTCCTGACTGTCATAGCACAATACAATTAACAGTTCAGGGTGTAAGGTTTAGGGCCTAGGGTAACAGTAGGACGGCGCGGATATGAGTGTCTTGGATGACTTAAGCTGCCTTAAACTTAAACCTTCGCTCTCACAACACGGCCTCAGACAGGCCCTGAATGGTCAAAACCACTCTGCAAGAGGGCGTCATCGAAGAGTGTGGCAAAGTTGCGATCGTAGGTGGTCTTGTCACGCGACAGCACGAGCCTGATCCCGCCCCGGGCCACGTCGCGGAAACGTGTGTGGAAGCCCATGAAGTCACGGCCGCAGACAAGGTAGATGCCTGCGAGATTGAAACATGGAGGGTTTCTGACAATCGCGCCTCTTGCAATTCTCAGAAATTTCGTGTTTTATGCGTCTCCTGATGAATACACATATAGCTCCACGTGGCCATCGTGGCATTGCCGTCAAAAAGGAGCAGAAGCAAAATATCTTCAAACCCCTTGAGGCACGGGCCGTAGGGAACTTCTGGATACCTCGGTTCTCTGGCCAAGCAGCCTGCTCTTAGGCAACAACTTTGCTCAGCTATACGCCACAATGACGCTATGCACCCCACAGCTCCGTAAACCCTAAACCCCTGAACCTCCAAACCCTAAAACCCCTAAGCCCTAAACCCTAGACCCCTAAACTAAAAACCGGGAGAACCAAAATGCAATACACAAGTTCTAAGGAAGAGCCGAGATTCAGAGAGGCCGGTCTGTCTTTCAAGGCCACAGCCGGGTCCAGGCCTGGGTCGTTGTGTACAGATTTTCCTACAGCTTTGATAGGGAACCATCTTATTTCCAATAGATCCCGATGGTGCGAACTTCAGGACCCTATTATTTACGATAGATCCCTATTCATGAGTTAAAACCCCCTCATTTACGGTATTTACGATCGATCCCTATAAATGAGAACTTCAGAACCCTATGATTTGCTAAGGACCCCTATCCATGAAAGCATCAACCAAAAGGGTTCATATATACAACCGCTCTGGAACTAGATCCCTAAAATCAGAATAAGAATGGTCTCTTGGGGCCAAATTCCATAATGGTAGGATATATGGACCCTCTGCATGCAAGCTTCAGAACGAAATGATTTCCTACAGATCCTTAAACCCTAAACCCATAAATTACTTCCCATACATCCCTAAACTCATAAATGGGAGTTTCCGAAAATAGGGGCCCCTAATATAGTACCCTAAGAAGTAGGATCCCTAGTATAGGGACCCCCAGAATAAGGTACTCCTATTTTCGGAAAATCCCATAAATCACATCCTATAGATCCCTAAACCCTCAACCCATAAATTACTTCCTATAGATCCCTAAACCCATAAACTACTTCCTATAGATCCCTAAACCCATAAATCAATTCCTATAGGTCCCTAAGCCCATAATCTACATTCCTCAACCAGAGTCAAGAGGCGGAAGGACAGAGCCCCTGGGATCTGGGCTTTGAAGAAATTGGTCCTTGGCTTTTTGAGAACTTGTTTAGGGTTTAAGGGTTTAGGGTAAGAGTCTACGGTATAGGGATTGTAGGGTTTAGCATCTAGGGTTTATAGAGCTTAGGGTTTATTGGGTATATAGGGCTTATAGGGTTTAGGCTTGTGGGTTCAGGCTTGTAGGCTGGGTTTGGGTTTGGGGGGTTCGGGCTTTTGGTTCCTGGTGGATTGCTGCATACTAAGAAGGAGAGTAGTTCTTAATTGTAGGTTCTGACCTTTGAAAGCACATGAACAATAACTGAAGATGTAAATAACACACACACACCTCTCTGTATTTGTATATATCTATATATGGATATATGTATATATACTATATATGTATATATATATATATATATATATATAGGTAAAATACGTGTCTCAAAACGAGGGTACAAGATTGGGATACGTCACCAAGACTTTCATCAAGCCTAGCAGATCACACCTTAAGCTCTCGATGCGTTTTCATTGGGTGCCTTGGCTCGACCCCTGACCCTTTACTGCTGAAACCATCATGCCCCAAGCTCGGAGGAATCAGATGAGCCCAGATCCAGCACCCCTCCTCTCTTGCAAGACCAAGAGGCAGCAGGATGCTGTGGTTGAAGGTGAGGAACATCTTCAGAATTTGCCGATCCTGGGGATCCGTGCATGCCTCGTCGATCACCTGCAGGAAGAAAACTCGTACAAGCAAGACACAGAACGACAGTGCTACTGTGGGCTTAAACGTTAATTTCAGGCCCGGGGTCCTACAGTAAGCACACCAGAGAATACATCTTGAGATCCAGGGCTGCCGCTGTGAAAGCATTGTTTACTATTACAACCTTACATTGACAGGTCGCGAGACTCGAATAGGAGTTCGCCTGCGTGAACCTTGTCAACCCGAATGGCAAAGGTGCCCAGGTTCACAAAAGAGGGATCTTGAGACGAGCGTGAAGCTTCAATTTCTTCCAGAGGCTTGGAATCAGGTTGATGGACAGCATCGTGCTACAGCTGCCAGTACATCTCGACAAACTCCGAAGTCTACCGTCGCAAAACTCGAAATCGGACCATCCATTTCATCCATTGTGCTGAACCAGGGTGATTTTCAGACCCGAAGTTTACCGTCTCGGAACTCGCAATATGTACTATTTGAACCCATTTTCCTCTGAGTCACAGAACTCAACTCTTCGTTGAAGCGTGGTTCCCGCTCTCCGCGGGCTATCAGCGCGAAGTCCTCGAAGAAAAGCCTGCTCACACTCGGTAAATTAGAGACCTGAATGCTCATAACATCAATAGCCCAGCGGAATAACACTGATGGCAATAACAGAACATAATCATCATCGTAATAGTGACAGTAATCATCATCATGGTCATACTAGTAAGAAGTGTATACCATCATAATCATCATCATCATCGTCATCATCATCATCAACAACATCAATATCATCATCGTCATCATCATCATCAACAACATCAATATCATCATCATCATCATCATCTTCATCAACCTCAGGTATGACCATAAAACCACAGTATACTTTTTCATTCACGAATACATAAAGTCGCTACTGCAGAGCAGCCGGCATTTGCCTTGCTTGCTGCTGTCTTACTGTGACACTGCTTCTAATTCTATAAATATGGCGAGGCTGCAGGCCAAACAGGCCGTGCAACCCGAACTCATAGTGCTGAAGTGCTCTTGAACAGTCAACGGAGTCCTGTCTTTCGCAAGGGGGACCATGTGCCAAGCCAATCAATGCGTACACGTTCAGCACTGCAAGGCTGAGGTTTTGTAGCTTGCCCATGTGTCGCCCGTGGGCTCCTTGCCAGATTTGGATGGCGGTGGATCAGGCTGTAGATCCGTTCCGTAGACAGGAGGTCCTGCGATGCGGGGGACAGAAGGCTAAACGGCTACTGGTTAAGTTCTGGGCAGAGAGCTTTGACATCAGGATCTTAGAGCCCTGAGGCTTCAATATTAAGGCCTCAGGCTCCGTCGAGATGGGGGACCTATCGCAATGTGAGACCGGGCTGCTCCTTGATACAGAGCTTGTACAAGGTCTCGAGTTTCCTCTGGCTGGCGGCGTCGTGCTCCAGCACCTTATGCACTGAGATGTACTCCGGCGCATACTGCTCCTTGGGGAAGAAGGTGTAGACAAACTTGACCTTGGGCAGCATGGCATGGCAAAGGTTGGCACTTTCCGATCCAGCGGGGCAAAGAAAGTCAAGAAGAATTGACACATTCCAAGCATTGGCATCCCTGTTCTCTCAGCCTGACTTGGTCTGGCGCCGCTGGCAAGCATGCTAGGTCACGAGCTGCGGCCAGAACGTACAGACCGCACTCGTGAGAGATCTGGGACTGCCTCGAATTGCAGCATGTGAAATCATACCAGGTAAATCTCTCGTTGCATAAACGAAGTCTTGGGATGCATTGCGAGGCTTGGGAAGCTGTGCTGTGCTCCACGATCAGGATCAGCTAAGAACTGCATCTAGAATTGGGCTTCTGTGGGTCACAGTTTGCTCGGGCATCGAAGACACCATCTCAAAAAGCCCACCGTTTCAGGATGCTACTCAAAGTCTTTCCACGACGGCTTCAAGTAACGACTCGCAGTTGCAAGGCCATCATTAATCTATTCCTGTTTCTTCCGTTGCAGGACTTCTCCACAACTAAAACGAATTCCAAGTAGCATCACGCTGCGGTATACCAGCTCAGAGTTCCCAGGCGTGGCCTGTTACCGGAGTTTAGGTGTAAGGCTGTGGCTTCAGGGCGTCGCGTTCAGCATTCAATGCGGTCCGGCTACTGGGGAATCGTCTAGGGTTCGGTGGGCAAGTAGGAGGTACGGAAGTATCAGAACCTCATAGGACCTGATGATGGTGGCAATGACATGAAGAGGGGTGAATGAAGAGTGGCCGATGCAGGAGTACACTCAACATAGTGTTATAGCATATTATAATATACGAGTATTATAGCATATTATAGTCGATTATAGCATATTTTAGTACCTTGGAAACAAGATCAACTTTCGTCTCGGCCTGACTAGAAACATGCTGAAGCCATTACAAATGGGTCTTGGACGGATCTTGAGCTTTGACTGCATGTGGTTCAGGGACATGTTAGCCAAGGAGACTGCGCACAAGCTCGACGTCGATTTATTGTGTTCTCGCTGCGGCTATATACCGTACATATTGGATGGCGCTGTGAAGTATGGGGCTCCCATATGCGGCTCAGCTTACATTCTAGGGAGGTTGTGTCAGTAGTCAAGAAGACGTTCACGGATGCATGCGCTTCGTAAGCACACGCCCAAAGACTGTTCCTGACCGTCCCGGCCGAAACCTAAATCTGAATGTTGAACACAAGAGGGCACCAATAAAGACTGTTCCCACTCACCTACACAAACTCAACCCCCTTGCTGCCTTGCTGAGACCTTCTACGTACATTTGTGTGCCGTTTCATGTGCTGATTAATTCATGCGTCGATTCCGGCGCCAATCTCTTGCACCGATTTTTGTGCCGATTTCCGGTGTCTATTTCGGCGCCGATTGTTTTAAGTCGGGTGAGACCTTGAGCAAAAACTGCCAACAGAATGCTCAACACCAAAAACAAGATCAGCTCACACAAGTGCCGGACTTTTCGACGTCTTCTGGTCCGCATGCCGACACGCAAAACACTTGAGAATTGCCGGGCTGTCGCCGAAGTTATGATTCAAGGAATCAGCTGCAACACGTTTTCTCTGACAGCCACATCCCAGTTTTGCGCATCGCTAGATACTTATGCTTTCGGGAAGCTGCCTGCGAGTTGCGGACGTTCATGAAGCAGCACGCAAATGATCCCAAAGGGTCCAAAGTACCTTTATCGTAGAATGTAGGGTTTCTATTTTAGGAATTACTATTATGATTTGGGGAAGTATCCCCCATAACAGTACATAGGACCCTTTGGGGATAGCAAAGCAAGTCTCTTGTCAAACGGATGCAGAGCGGCTCCCGGCATGCAACCAACGCAGCCGTCACACATTTCTCCGAAAACAAACAAGAAAAAACTCGTCACTGCAGCGCGGAAGCCCTAAGACATGCCGTCCTGTAGCTCCAACCCGCGGAGTCAGACGACATTAGAGCCTTCCACAAGAAGATTCTGGCGGTTTCTTACAACGAAGGCGCACACCCGAAGAGGTACCGACAGGAGCCCTAAACACCAAGTATTCAAAAGTGCTCACAAAAGTGGGTAATTAGATTGCTGCGAATAGATTTTTGATGGTGCTATGGTTATTAAGACATGGATGATGATCGTTGGTAAACTTCAGAAACCACCCACACTCGACCAGGCCTTGAGCAGCGTCGAGTATAGCAGAGCGCGCTTCAAGCATTCCACCTGTGTCTCCGGGACACCCGCCGGGAAGAAGAGGCTATAGGCAATTACCTGGGCAGCCGCGGCGAAACTGTTTGTACAGCTGCTCGAATAAGGCAGCCCGTGAGCGAAGGTATGTGCGTGTCCTTTCTTTGGTTGACACAAGTCTGTATGCCTCCATACATACCTACTTACACATACATATATGTATATATGGATATAGTATATGTTGACAAATGCTACACTACATGAATAATTGAGAGTATTGAACTACATCTACATCTACATATAAATGTTTGTGTATTCACTCGCGTGGCTGCACAAATGCAGTATGCCTACAGACTTACGTGTGGGATTTGTACAACACCGGCACATACAATACAAGCCAACACTGAAAGATAGAGAGATTTCGAGAAAACAAAAAACACATGCACACACACACAGACACAGATATATATATATATATATATACACACACAGTACACACACACCTACACTCATTCACTCTCACTCCCTCTATTGGCAGCCATCAAACATGTATAGTCCAACCCTAATTTGCAAGCAAACAGTCTGTCGGAGCTTATCAAGGCCCATGTTGTTTGATATTTGCTTCCTCCTCCTTACTGCTGGGCCATCTGTTCCACCAACGAGTCCTATCCTACTGAGGAGAGACATGGTTGTAGGGCTCCGGGCAACACTGTAGTTGAGGTGCTGGGTACCGTATAAAACCCTATAAAAGCCTTATGAAACCCTCGTTAGGGTTTACTCTCATGGCTGCGCATTCTCATCTCCAAGCTGCGCCGTTGGCAAAAGTGGAAAAGTAGAACCTCCAAACCAATTTCACATCGTCACATACTGCCGCTCCCCTAAACCCTAAACTCGCTGCAGTGGTCCAAAATCTGCCTTCTGAAAGTAGTCCCGAAGCCTACGTAGACCTTTTACACCGAAGCCTCCACCTTGAACTCCCGAGCTCTGTACCACTACTCTACGAACAGGTTGAAGCTTATCGGGTTTATCTATGGCTTGGGGTCGACATGTCTCAGCAGTCATGGGTACACTCCACTCCTCTCCTTTCCATTCCTCCCCTACCGCCAAGTGAATGCGGACACATATAGTGTTTTCTATTATGTTTTCTACGTGTCCTGTCTGGTTTGGGGATCCCTAGGGCTCCAGTTATCTAAATATCAGGCTACTGACCATGCATATAGTATATACCCCAGTAACCTACTAGTTAGGTAACTGGAGCGCCTAGGGTTTGGGGATGCCACGATTGAGGATCTCGGAAGCACGTGCTTGCATCTGCTGCACGAGCTCGGGCCTTCGCGGGACCAGGCCGACGAATCGCATGGCCTACAGGGAAAAACCAGAAATGGTCTGAGGGCTTCCGGTTTGGGGTTTGGAGCTAGAGTTACTGAGTCTTTGGGGTGGATGGGGCATGTCATCGGGTTCGGGCTGTTTAGGCTTAGGTTGCCTGGTGAAGGAAGGCAAGCTTGCTCATGTGAATGGGTCTTTAGGGTTCACGCTTTTGAGTCTTTTGGACTTAGGCCTTCAGTTGTTGCTTGCAGGGTGTGTGGGGGTTGGTTTAAACTGCTGGATCCTCCAAGCGAGACGCAGCCGAGAGCTAGAAGACGACGACCAGGGCGACGGCTAGCAGCGAACATAGGGGCCTTAACAATTAGAAAAGGGTTTTGGGGTTTTCTTATTGTATAGTTATGATAAGGAAACCCCAGATCAGTATAGGTAAGTGTTAGGCCCCTATAATACGATGATCTCAAAGTGAAGAGACACTGGCCTCACTCTCAAACTGCGACCATGGCAGATAAAGTATCCTAGGGCCCCAAAATCCCATATAAACCCCCTTATAATGAAGCCCAATAAGGTTGGGATATCCCCATATAATGCTTATAGCCGACTCGTGCTCCAGCCTGCCAAACTTCCTGAATGTAGTTCCGGCCAGCGGTCTCCGCGGTGGCGAACAGGACCACGAAACCTGGTGATGTCGCGGATATCAAGTGACTGACCATATACTATACGGGTATATACCCCGGTAACCTACTACAAGTAGTTAGGCAACTGGAGCCCTAGCGGTTGCTGTAAGCATGTAACTCCCTCTTGTCTCGCACCCCTTACTTACTCTGTCCTCGTCGTGTCGAGGTGCTGGGGTTGGCGAGGCTCTGTATTTTGTTCATCGGCCTACATCAGTCCTGGTTTCAATACCGGAGGCCCGAAAACCCCAATTCCATCCGACCCTCAAGCACCAAACCAGCTAAAGTTTTGGGGCCCATTATATTCTCCTATACATATAATCAGGAACCCCCCAAATAGTATTGGCAATGAATAAAGGCTCCTACATTATGGAAACCTACTATAGATCCCTTATAAGCCCCTTATAGAACCCCTTAAAGGAACCCTATGCAACTGTTAAACCAGCTGTGAAGCCAGAGAAGTTGCCCGGATAAGCCTCACCGGGTATGATGTTCACCATGCTGCGACGGGATGCGACCACATCTTCCTGGAGGCAAGTTTTAGGGTTTAGGGCTTAGGGACGTCACCACATCTTCATAGGCAAGTGGGGCTTGGGTCGACAAGAAGCCTGCACCACTCCTGCCGCTCCTCACCTTTGCTAATGATGTTAGTTTCACTACCCTGGACCGTGTCGACAGCTTCAGTGTGGACTGGAGTTGAACGCCGTGGAACGGCTGGCCCCGAAGTGGTACAGTAGCGAAGAAGGTAGTGGAAGCGGTGGTAGTAGTAGTAGTAGTAGCAGCAGTAGTGATAGCAGTAGAAGTAGTAGTAGAAGTAGTGGTAGTAGTAGTAGTGGTGGTAGTAGTAGTAGTAGTAGCAGGAGTAGTAGTAGTCGTCGTCGTCGGCTTAATCGTGATGTCGCGGGACGCCGGAGTCGTCGACGAACAACCGACAACCCCCATCGGCACGGCCAGTGTTGTCGGCATAGCCGTCGTTGTCACGATCACCATCAACATCATCATCACCATCATCATCATCAGCATCGTCTTCACCACCATCATGACCATCACCATCGTCAACATGGTCATCATCACATCATCGTTCGTCAACATCATCATCCGCACCCATAATCACCATTATTAGCATCTTCGTCATCACCCTCATCATCAGCAGCAGCATCAGAATCAGCATCAGTGTCGGCATCATAATCACCAGCACGGCCAACATCAGCATCTCAGTTGACTCAGTTCATCGTCATGTTGCAGATGCATCGCGTGCCAGGGTGCCATGATGATCTGGTACTGCTCAATGGCCTCCCTCGTCTTGCCTGCAACAACCCTAAACCCTAAAACCTAAACCCCAAACCCTAAACCGATGGACAAGAGATACCGCGAAACGGCAAGGCCCAGGGCGACAGAAGAGCAAAATCCTCGGCCCAATCCACAGTCTATTCAAAACCGACACCCTTGGCCCGTGCCATGGAGATAGAACTCCATACACTGAACTTGAGACTCTGGGCCGTGCGCTTCGCAACCCGGAAATGCAATCTACTCCAAATCTCTGGAAGTTCACCTTGCCAGAATCGACGCACCTTCGCTTCTCGAATCCGAGAAAACTCACTACCCTAAAGCCGCGAAGCCGCTGATCCCAAAACCTAGTAAAGCTGAGCTTGTACAAACCCTACAACCCCGAACTCTAAAACATCAAACGATCCCAAACCCGAGCCTTTCAGGAAGGTGGAGCTCGCCAGAATCTGAAGGCTGGTTTCGTTCTCTGCCACACGCGAGACCTCGAAGTGCCCCCTCTCCTGGCTTGCGGCATAGAACGGATGCCTATGTCTGCATAACACGTGTGACTGTGATAACACAGCGATATTACGGCATGTATATAGTAGAATAATACACGAGTGCAGTTTTCTCCGCAAATCGCATGCACACGCATGCATGCGTACATCCAGGCATGCATGCATCTGCATGCGTGCTTGCATATGCACGACTGTATGCACAGACACACACATGCATCCACACATAGCACGAAAACACACGCACGAACATAAACACATCCATCCATCCATCCATCCGTCCGTCCATCCATCCATCCAGCCATCCATACACACGTGTACATACACACATCCATCCATGCATTCATCCATCCATACATACATACATGCATGCATACACATACGCTCACACACACACACATACACACATGCTCACAGACAGAAAGACAGACAGACATACATACACACCGAAACAACAGGCGACTAAATCCAAACTCCGAGCCCCAGAATCCTTCGAGCCCTAAATCTCTTTCCAAGACCCTGGAACCTCACTGCTTCGGGCTACTGCTTCGGGCTCCCGTTTAAGACCCTAAACCCTAAAGCCCTAAACCCTAAACCGTAGGATCAGCGAATGAGGTGTAATGCTTGCGGACGTGTTGGTTTGGTGCTTGGGGGTTCCGCATCGCCTCCTCTATGGGGCCAGATGCTTGTTAATAATGGTAACCAAACTAAGAATACAATAATAATAATAATAATAATACAAGTAACAGTAACAACGGTAGTCATAGATAGACAGAGAACTACGACGACGACTACTCCAACTACTGCAACTACTACAACGCCAACAACAACTACTACTACCACTACTACTACTACTACTACTACTACTACTACTACTACTACTACTACTACTACCACTACCACTACCACTACAACTACAACTACAACTACAACAACTACTACTACTACTACTACTACTACTACTACTACTACTACTACTACTACTACTACTACTACTACTACTACTCTTACTGCTACTCCTACTACTACTACTACTACTGCTACTACTAGTACTAGCAATAATAAAAAACATGACATGACAAGAAATGATAAGTGAGAGTTCAGAGCGGTCAGGCTATGCTGGATCTCTTCGCCAAAGCAGCTTGGACGAGGAACTTATTCCTCAGCACAACAAACTGCAAACGAGTCACGATGTTGTAGATTCCCAAACGCTCCTCTTCCCCTGCAAAGCCACCGAAAAGAAAGCTTAGGGCTTCAGGGAACAGGCCCTAAGCTACCTCTCTCGCAGTAGAGTGCACTTCATGCTAACAATAACTGCAGTGCCGAGTTTTACCAGTTTCATATCAGCCGCTGCTTTGCGTAAGGCCGCCAATATCTATCAAGCTCACGCAGGAGCCACCTCAGCACCGCAGGGATGTATATCTGTATATTGTCCTTTTAGCTGCGAAGCAGCGAGGCTAGAGTCTTCTTGTCTGTATCAAGCCCAGAGAGGCTTGGCTTCTTGTCACAGCTTGTCACAGAACTGCATGGACTCCCCGTCGAGCCCTCTTAACATGTCATCGTGGAAGGAAGAGCTGCATCGTCCAAAACCCGCAACGACTCATCATCCGGCTAGCAGGAAAGCATGAACTCGCCCTCCATTGGCCGGATTCACAATTTATGTCTATACTTATGTATTGCATGTGTGTAATATGTAAGTATATATAATATACACACATATTTGTATCTATAGAGACAGTTAATATTGCCATAAGGATGAATATAAGTATAAATTGAAACCAGTCTTGAAGCGCCTCGGAAGGCGGGGCCCTGGGAGGCCATGAAGGTCAGCGTGATGCTCTTGTTGTTGAAGTCTGAGCCTCCCAGAGACACCAAGGGGTTCCTTCAAGGGATCCTTTAAGGGATCCATAAGGTTTGGGGTTTAGGAGACTCCAATATCCCTTATTCTTATAAATAAGGAATATACCTCAAGTTATAGTAGGATCCCTAATCTCCTGTAAAGTATACCCCTTAATCAAGAATGTACCGATCTTAAAGTATAGTAGGATCCCTAATATGTTTTACAGTAGAGCCCTTAATTTAGGGATATACCTTAAATCATAGTAGGATCCCCAATATGATTTAAGGAACATCTCGTCACTAAGGAATATACTTAGATTAGAGTAGGACCCTAATATGATCTAACAAATTCCTTTTTTGAGGGATAGTGTAACCCCAAACCCGAATAGGGCTCCTGTAAAGGCTTCTATAAGGGGTCTATCGGTGAGGCGTGGTAATATAGGGGCCTTAATAATTAGAATAAGGTTCCTTTAAAGGGATCCATAAGGGGTCTATAGTAGGGTTCTATAATTTAGTGGCCCTAATAATTAGAATAGGTTTGGGGTATATTATACTATAGTTATTCTAAGGACCCCCCCAAAATAGTATAGGCAATTATCAAGGCCGCTATACTGAACCCCCATACTACCCCTTATAGTAATCCTTATAGACCCCAAACCCTAAACCTTAAGCCGTGGATTCAAGTGGACGAAGTGTCGTTAAACCCTAAATCCGGGAACCATGAAACTTCCAAATTTCAAGCGAATGCACACATAGGTACTCATCAGCGCGCCAACAGTCATGCTAAAGCTAATAGCTAACATCACCGTCATCACCATAAGCATCTCTTCATTGTCGTCATTGTCACTGCCAGCTCCATCCCGAGTCCTCAGCCCCAAATCCTAGACCCAAGAGTAACCTAGGAATAAAAAGGGCGCCCTTTTTGGTTTAAAGGGTGTTATAAGGGAATCTGAACCCTGAAAACGGGAATAAGGGCTTAGTCTGGGTCCTAGAATCCTACATCCAAGTCCCTCAGTGGATCTCTGGAGGTTGGGTCTCGCACCAATGTACTCTGCGATCTTCCTTTCTGTCCGCCGTTGCGACTCCTGGGGATCGTGAGTTTGTATGCAGCTGCGGATTTACCTATAGTCTCCACTGTCGTTCCTTTTTTTGGGGTTACCTTCTAGGATCTTCAGTATATAACTGGTTAAACCAAAGAAGGGAACTACAATGGAGACTATAGGCAGGGTTGAGTTTCATCTTTCCGGAGGTCTCTGCATCCACCAGCCTTATCTATTGAGATGTCGGCAACCGACCCCTTCAAAACGTTCCTTGGTCCGGCTATCGACTTGTCTCTAGCTGCCTATCTGCCTAATTAGGGCTTTGCACTGTAGCCGTCTGTGACGAAACAGCTTCGTCGCACTTTCATACGACCTAGAGACTCCAATATCCCTTAAAATTAAATCATATTAGGGATCCTACTATAATTTAAGGCATCTTCCTTAATTAAGGGATATTGGAGCCTCTGGGGACCAGGTTGAACAGCTCCTATGGTTCGTCCAGGCCTGGTCCGAGCCCTTCGCGGGATGGGCATCGGCTACAATCACTGGGCCATGTTTCCCGTGACAAGTAAACCCCTAAATCGTAAACTAGGTCCTAAACTCTATAAAACCCCCCTACAGGGTCCTAAACTTGGTCTTAAACCCGAAAAAAATTCTTAAAGGGCCCTAAACTTGGCCCTAAACCCTACAAAAACCCTTGAAGGGTCCTAAACTACCCAGGTCCTGAACCCGATAAAAGCCCCCTTAGCCCTACGCTTTGCGTGCGGGGAAACGTTAAAAGCCAAGGTTTAGGGCTTTGGAAAGCCCCAGAGAGCCCAATACCCCTTAATTAAGGAATATAGCTTATAAATCATAGTATGAAGCCCTATATAATTTAAGCCATATTCCTCAATTAAGGAATATAGCTTATTAAATCATAGTATGAAGCCCTATGTAATTTATGCCATATTCCTTAATTAAGGAATATAGCTTAAATCATAGTATGAAGCCCCATATAATTTACGCCATATTCCTCAATTAAAAAAATATAGCTTAAATCATAGTATGAAGCCCTAAATAATTTAAGCCATATTCCTTAATTCAGGAATTTTTGCTTAAATCATAGTATGAAGCCCTTTATAATTTAAGCCATATTCCTTAATTAAGGGGTATTGGGCTTTCTGGGGCCAAGGTTCGGTGGGTGCAGCCGGATCGGAGCTCAGGGCAGTCAGGAAGAAGGCGCTGTGATCCTTGCTTCGCGGGCTTTTGGGTTTTGGGGTTGAGGGTTGAGGGTTTAGGGTTTATAAGGTTTAGGGCTTAGGGTTTAGGGGTTTGGGGTTTGGGGTTCAGGCTTGAGGGTTTAGGGTTTAGGGTTTAATTATAGATTTAGGGTTTAGGGTTTAGGGGTTTGGGGTTTGGTGTTTAGGGGTTTAGGGCTTAGGGTGTTTGAGCCTGGGTTTCAATCTCGATCTCGTGCGCATCAAGGAACAAGACATTGACACGAGAAGAGGCGACGATTCAATGAACACATCAACTTGAAGTCGGGTTTCGGATTGAATTTCGGGGCCTCATGGAAATTGAGAGTTTCTGAAAATTGGGGGTACCTTGTTTGGGGATCCTTATAATATGGATCCTACTATTTAGGGTACTTTCTTAGGGTCCCCTAGCTTCGGAAACTCCCAATTCACCATGCATGTTGTGTTTGCGTCTTCAGCAAATGATCCGACCTCCGCTTCGCCAACCCTACCCTACCACCGCGCACCTTCTCAAGCCTGAAGCTTCACGGCCTCCACTACCCTGCCCCGAACCTTAAACCCTATACCCTAAACCCCAAGCCCTAAACCCTAAACCCTACACCCCAAATCCGAAACCCAACACCCCAAACCCTACACCGACTTCCTTTTCCAGGTCAGGCTCGGTACTGAAGTCGAACTCAAGGGCCCGGATGTGGCTCCTGATCGGCCCAGAGTTGCATAGCCAACAAACTTGAGCTACGGTTTCAGATTTAGAATCACACTCATACTAACAGCCAAATGACGCAAACGCCATTCGGGACCCACAACGAACGGCACACACGCTTCGACAACAGCTGCATGGCTGCAGGAGAGCCCCTGACATCTTCCGATCACCGAAGACTGCGGACTTGGGATTTATAGGGGTCTATAGGGATCCATAAGCGGTCTATAGGGATTTAGAGGGGGTCCAGAGCACTTGGGAAGTGCAAGTGGCCAAACTGTTACGAACAAGTCTCGTCGCATGCGCCACATGCTTGGCCGCAATGAGACACTGTATGTGCTTGGCAATCTGCATGGGTGTGAAGTGGTTGTAGTACCTTAGAGTGAGCCAGCAGGCCCTTTTGGGATCATATTTCAGCACACTTGGCATTTAGCGACCCCACGGGATATTGGTACATTGGTACTAGTTGTTCAGATCCCTGTATTACCACTTTCCAGCGGCTGACCCCATCCCCAACTCGGGTCACCTAAGTCTTGAAAGCACTGCCTGGGGTCATGCATGGCAAGCGGTGCTCAAAGCAATTCACCCCGGCCACGTCTCTGAGAAACAATGCTCTGAACAGTTGTTGCTGGGCTGCGCTTCGTTGCATATTTAGGGATTTCGGGTTTGAAGGTCAGCTGTTCACCTCAGCTCCAAGGTGCATCCGATGAAAACCGAGGCAGTTGAAAAAATGCTCCACCTCAGCCTGGACTGTTGTGAAGCTGAAGATTCCCTCCTGCAACAAGGAAGCAATCACAATAATAGTAGTAGTAATAATAATGACAATAATTATGATAATACTAACTGTAATAATAGCGATAATAATAATAAGAATAATCATTGATCCGAGTTTCAAGTGTGCGATCTGCAGGGTTTACAGAAAGCCTGGCTCTGTAAACAATTGATGATGCTGTTGTTTTGTTCTTTCGACGCCTTAATCGTCCAAAGAGGTGCCGGATAGCTCCGAATGCCCTTGGTGGAAAGCGATTCCTAGTCTCTGAAATCGTGCAACTTCCCTATCAGAAAACTAACCCGTGAAGCCGTACTTCCAAACCGCCAGACTGTCACACCAACGCCTTTAGTCAAACTGACTGTGATCCCAATTAAGAACTAACACCCAAGAACAGCAACCCTCGAACAGAAACATCTTCCCGACTCACGCAACCATATAACATCTCACTGCCCACGACCCTGAAACTCTGAATTCCAAGTTCATTTGCAACATTCCGCGCTTAAATCCCAACTTCAACTCTTGAAGTCCTAAGCCCTCAACCCTACAGAAATTACTACTCCCTAAGCCGTAAACCCTGACGCCCAGGTCGTCTCCTTCACCACAAGCTCAAAGACGGTGCTCATGATCTCCGGCAGCGGCTCGGACTGATCGCCAAGAGCGAAGACCTTGTTGCTTTTGATTCGGGCTTGGGGCTTAGGGTTTGGGGTAGAGGATTTAGGGTAGAAAGGGTTTGAAGCGGTTTTGGAACTGATCTTCAAGAGCAAAGATTTGGGCTGAACTGTACTCCTTGGCGCACTAGCCGGCTAAAACCCCAAATCCCAACCGCACTAAATCCTAAACCCCTATCCTAAAGTAACTAACCCGGAAAAACCTGAACCTCCGCAAGGCCTCTACAAAACCATACCCTCCAACCCCTTTAACAACCTTGTGAAGCCCTATAGACCCATAAAACCTCTTGTGACTCTTGTGAGAATGCGGTGGTGGTGGTGGTGGTGGTGGTGGTGGTGGTGGTGGTGGTGGTGGTGGTGGTGGTGGTGGTTGTGGTGGTGCCGGTGGTGATGGTGGTGGTGGTGACAACCACGGCGGCGACGACGGGGATTACTATGGTCACAGTGATGGAGTTGGTAGCTTAGTGGAGGCGATGGTGCTGCGCTGATGCCGGTGATGTTGGTAAACAGTGGTCGGGTTCTAGTTGCCTGCCAACCGCGCGCTCGTATTCAATAGTTATACTTCCTTAACCCCATAATCCCGCAAGTTGGCCAGATCTGTTGCACTCGCCCTGCAAATCACGCATACCCACGACATGTAGCTAGCAGTGTCTGCGCACCGGCTTACTTTTTCTCTGCTGCCTTTGTCCAGCAACGGCCTTCTTCTTGGCCTTCTCCACCAAAACCTTTTTAGCGCGGCACCCGAGCTTTCTGCCTTCTCGCCGAATCTTCAAGGCCAGCTCCCGGGCCTTGGCCTCGGCCTCCTCCATCACCGCGAAGTAGCCCCCGTATCTTTTTTTCTTGATTTTGGGGTCCCAGCGCTCAACCAACCACTTCCGACAACATTTGTTGTAAGAGACGCCCGTCACAGTGGAGCCGGAAAGTCTCGGCCTTCGCCCGATCTGGTGGGCCAGCTCCAGGGCCTTGGCCTCGGCCTCCGCCTTCACTTTGAAGCTGCCTCCGTATCTTCTTCTCTGTTTCTGGATGGAGGGGTCCCATAGACGAACGCACCACCGCTGAGACCGCTTGTCATAAATGACGCCCCTCAAAGAGGAGCCGGAAGCTTCGGCCACATCGGATTTCTGCAGGAGCTTCCTGGCTTTGGCACGATTGGCTCTTTTCTTGGTGCTCGGTTGGACCACCACCTCTGAAGGCTTCTCGCCGTGCTCAGTGACGGAGCCCACAGACTCGCATACTTCACGGCAGTGAATGGCGGAGCCAACTCCGGTCGGCGAGAACTTAAGCATCCCATCCTCCGCCAGTAGATACCCATTGCCAACCCAAAGTTGAGTGGGAGGGTCTCGCATCCAAGGCCGCATTTTCATGCAGACGACATCGGGCCATGGCTTAGATCCCGACGCGGCCTCGGGCTGCCTTTCAAACAGGGCATGCTGTGGGTTCTCGCGGAAAAATTGATGCAACTCACACAGCTCTTCTATGCTGAGGAGTTGCACGCATGCTGTTGCTGCTTGCTTCTGGCATCCTTGCCAGAGACAAGCTTCCAATCCTAAGAAGGGGCTTGCCGGACAGCATGGCTTCGTGGGCACCCACTTCTCACCAGAGGCTTGAAACCTAAGACATTGATGGCTCCACTCCGTCAATCGCGACTGGAAGCATGGACGTGAGATGTCCTGGTTCTCATGGCTGATGCGCAACCTCTTGGCTGTTCGGATCGGCTCAGCCTGCTCATCTGGCTCCTCTTTGGCCATGCCAGGCGCACAGAACCACTTCTGGAAGCCCTTTTCACAAAAAAGGATCGTGAAGCCTCAAGCCCCAAATCCGTGCTCTTGACCGCAAGCCGAAGTCCTTTGGGCCGCAAGTCCTTCTCAGAGATGCATAGACACAGACCCTGCTATCCTAAGAGGGCCCTCTCAAGGCCCAAACCCCAGATAGTGCTTGTCGGTTTGAGATCCAAGCCCTGCTCCAGGTCTAGTGCCTGGGAAGGTCTCTGCAGACTCTGGGGTCTACCGAGCTGATGGAGATGAGGAGCGAGGATAGACTAGGGTGTGGGATCGACCCGGAGCCTGCGAGCGATGCGTATCTGGGCTCCACGGGTGGCAAGTTTTGATTTTCCCCGGAAGGTTGCTTAGCTTGGACGTGACTCTGCACCAACAGCAACTTCAAATTTCATGGTGTGGAATCTGCCCATTGCCTTAGTACAGGTTTGGAGCTGTGATCCTTGTAATATAGGGGCCTAAATAATTGCCTATACCATTTTGGGGGTTCCTTACTAAACATATTAGTATACTGGGCCCAAAAACCCGACTCTAACCATGCAGGCCCCTATATTTTACATCCCTTGCTGCAACCAAGCGACGTTCTCAACGGATCGAGCATTCACTTCGGCCTGGGACTTCGGGTGGTTGCTGCGGTTCGTGTTCAGGTCCACAAGTTGACATTGCCAGGATTCTTGAGATCACTAGCATCTAGGGAGTTAAGGATTTTGAAAAGTCTTTTGTGTCTTATTCGGGGCCTCAGGCAGAGGTCTACCGACACTCCTGCAGCAGACCTCTGGAAGCTCTAAGTTGATTGTCTATGCACAGAATTCGAGAACAGGAATCAGAGTCTCGATCCTACAACAAAGTAGCGAGCAGCTCCTTTAAAACCGTGAACGGATGCTGACACACAGATGCTCCCTCATACGTCTTCCAACTGTCACTTGCGCTTCGCTCGGACGCGTACAGGAAGCTTGAGTGCCCGGTGCCGCTGGATGGCCTGCCAGCGTTTCATGCAGTGCTTGTGAACCCGAAACCCAAGCAACTACATCATGATGCAGGATAACTCATAAGATGTTCTGCTCCTTATGATGAAAGACTGGATTCAGCTCTACGTCGCAGAGTGGAGCGCATTGCTTCTGAAGGAAAGTTTGCCGGCAGCACGCTTGCACCATCTTTTCAAACCGTAGACGGCGTTTCCGGACACGGGCAGCAGATGTTGGGATGGGGCATGATGAACGATGGTCATGTTGCCGGTCATGCCGATGATGGCGGTGATGATTACCTTTATTCGGTTCTGCAGACAGGTCAGCCAGCAGCAATTTCAAACAACAGATGCTTAGGAATCCATGGCGTATGCAGGGCTGGAGTTTTAAGGGAAAAAGGCACCTGCAACACAAGCTGAAAGGTTCTGGTACGTTACCAGCTCTACCGAAACCCCCACCTCAAGAAACTACTCAGAGGCCCCATAGTAGTTCCTTTTTGGGATTGCCTTATATGATTCTAAATGTGAGCCCAAAAAGGAACTACTATTATGGAGCCTTAGGGTAGGCCCTTCCAAGCGCCGGAGTCCTGAACCTCACAGTCCCGGCTGCCTCAAGCCCTGTCAGCTTCCAACTCTGCAAGTACCGACGCACATCGTTGTGGCCGTTTTGTACCTCGGCTTCAGGCTAAAAGTAGAAAAGCCTTCGAGTGTGTGCTTTGGTGGCTTGCCCGGATCTCGCAGCGTATCAAACAGCCGTGGTTGACATTTCTAAAAGCTCCGGCTCTCAACGACTGAAGAGGCTTTGCTCTGCATGACCCTGGTGATATGGGAGCTTCCGAAAAATAGGGGTACCTTACTTTGGGGTCCTTCAGGATCCTACTATTTAGGGTAGTATATTAGGGTCCCCTATTTTCGGTAACTCCCATATGGCGATGAGAACACACCCTCATCACGACAAACAACAGCTTTAATCACAGTGTCCGGCCTTAACAATAAGTCTAGGCTCTGTGCAGTTTCGTGCTCAGGGCTTAGGGACTGAGGAAGTGTGAGCCACAGCCCGATTCATAAACCTTTTGAAGCAAGCCCTGAACCGTGGACACACAGCGCAGAAAGCCTTAAGCCTTGAATCCTACATCCTTGCAACTCTGAAACCCCACTCTCCACCCATACAATCTAAACCACCCTAAACCCCAAACTCTAAACCACCCCCTCCATCCAAGGCACGGCATCGTGGATTGGTAGCCTCAGCTTCGAGCCGTCCCAGACATGTCGAGTGTAGCTGTAGCTGGGGACCCCACGTTCCATTGACTATGTAGAGCTTAGATATTTAGGGTTAGGGATTCAAGGATTTAGGGTTTAGGAGTTTGAATTTTAGGGCTTGATGCGACTGCGCAACGCGAATCATGCTCACGATGGGAATTAGGAATATGGCCTAAGATCTTGCTGATACTACTGGTACGGATCTGGTGGGCTTAGAAACAGCATGTTATGAGTCCAAGTATGTTAGCATGTACTTATCAACACGGTTTTTGGTGTTTGTTTTATTGTTTCTAGGTGGTGGTGGTGGTGGTGGTGGTGGTGGTGGTGGTGGTGGTGGTGGTGGTGGTGGTGGTGGTGGTGGTGGTGGTGGTGGTGGTGGTGGTCGTATTGCCAGGGCTACTAATGCTCCAGAGCTCTGTGTCTGCAGGGTTAAGGAGACTTTACAGCTGGAATTGAAGCAAACCCTTCCTGCCGAAACTACCACTCTTAGGAAATTTCTGCGCAGTCGAGGACACATGCTCAACTAAGCTCTCCATCCGGTGGCAAGCCGAAACGATCCCGCCGGAGCGTTGCGCCGCACTCCTGCTCGGAGTGGGTTAGGAGTGCGGCATCGACGCACTTCCATTTAGGAAATTGCAGTTTAATTAGGGCTTGTGTGTACTTACCTGTGTTGGTGGAGACGAGTCCCACGTAAATTTTCGGTACAAGACTCGGCTACCGCTGCCTCTGGTCCAGTATAGTTCTTGGTTGATGCAGGCAGCAGGTACATGTGTGTGTAAATATATATATATATATATATATATATATATATATATATATTTATGTATATGCGTGTCGTATGGGCGTAAGCAAGTACGTATGTACGTGTGAATATATGTCTGGATGGATAGATGGATGGATGATGTATATGAGTATATGACTTGTACATGTCAATGTGTGTGTAACATGGAATGGAGCAAGGGAACTTCGAAGCTCTCAGCTTACTATTACTATACCAGACCCAGCAAACCGGCAACCCCACCGCATGCCTCACCTCAAACCTGTGAGAACTAAAATTCGCGGACCCCCACCCCCCCCCCCCCCCCCCCCCCCCCCCACCCCCCACGAAGCCACAAACCTCAACACCGGCAAAAAAAACAAACCGCCACTAGACCTAACTTTGCCTTTCATCCTCAGGAAGGCCGAACCCAGCGCTCCTCCAGCAGAAACTTCGCGAGCTTCAGGTCTCCTTCTACAGCTTATGTCAGTGGTTTAAAGGGTTTAAGTCTGTTCTGTGTGCGTGCGAGTAGTTTGTATCGGTCGGTGGGCATTCCATAAACTCCGTCCTGCTATTAGGGCATACAGCTCAAGGGTTTGACAGCGAACGGTTGTAGCGAGTAGCGAGTAGCAGTAGCAGTAGGAGTAGTAGCAGTAGCAGTAGCAGTAGCAGTAGTAGTAGTAGTAGTAGTAGTAGTAGTAGTAGTAGTAGTAGTAGTAGTAGTAGTAGTAGTAGTAGTAGTAGTAGTAGTAGTAGTAGTAGTAGTAGTAGTAGTAGTAGTAGTAGTAGTAGTAGTAGTAGTAGTAGTAGTAGTAGTAGTAGTAGTAGTAGTAGTAGTAGTAGTAGTAGTAGTAGTAGTAGTAGTAGTAGTAGTAGTAGTAGTAGTAGTAGTCGTAGTCGTAGTGGTAGTAGTAGTAGTAGTAGTAGCAGCAGTAGCAGTAGCAGTAGCAGCAGCAATAGCAGTAGCAGCAGCAATAGCAGTAGGAGTAGTAGTAGTAGTGGTAGTAGTAGCAGTAGTAGTAGTAGCAGTAGTAGTAGTCGTCGTCGTGGTAGTGGTAGTGGTAGTGGTAGTGGTAGTGGTAGTGGTAGTGGTAGTGGTAGCGGTAGCGGTAGCGGTAGCGGTAGCGGTAGCGGTAGCGGTAGCGGTAGCGGTAGCGGTAGCGGTAGCGGTAGCGGTAGCGGTAGCGGCAGCGGCAGCGGTAGCGGCAGCGGCAGCGGCAGCGGCAGCGGTAGTAGTAGTAGTAGTAGTAGTAGTAGTAGTAGTAGTAGTAGTAGTAGTAGTGCCATTGGTAGTATTGGTAGTCGTAGTATAGTAGTAGTAGTAGTAGCAGTAGTAGCAGTAGTAGTAGTAGCAGTAGCAGTAGTAGCAGTAGTAGCAGTAGTAGTAGCAGTAGCAGTAGCCGTAGCAGTAGCAGTAGCTGTAGCAGTAGTAGTAGTAGTGTAGTAGTGGTAGTGGTAGTAGCAGTAGCAGTAGTAGTAGCAGTAGCAGTAGCGTAGTGGTGGTGGTAGTAGTAGTAGTAGTTGTAGTAGTAGTCGTAGTAGTAGTAGAGTAGTAGTAGTAGTAGTAGTAGTAGTAGTAGTAGTAGTAGTAGTAGTAGTAGTAGTAGTAGTAGTAGTAGTAGTAGTAAGTTGAACAAAGCCGTTACAAGATACCCCCAAGAAGTCTCGAACATGTTTGAGTGCCATATTCCCCTACGCAGTCTGTTCTGAAAAATATTCTTGCCTGAACCCCTAAACCCGTAAACCCTGAACCCTAAACCATGGTTCTTTGTCACAGCAAGAAGGGCCCAGCCTGCGGCAGCAGCCAAATGGAGTGGCGTGCGCATGTCATAGGCCGTCCCTTCCTGGGTTTATTGGTTTAGGGTTTAGGGTTTACGGTTCCGTTTACACAAGGGTCCAGAGCAGGTCGATAAGGGTTCCAGAAATGGGGTTTAGACTCTTGTAGGGTAGGTTTTGGGGTTACGCCTGGGTTGGAGGTTTATGTTTTCGGGATTTGGAGCTGCGGTGGCATTGGGGTTTCAGCTTTTCCGGGTGTGCGACTGCAGGGCGGTATGACTCCGGGACTATATCGCGATGCGGTTCAGCGAGTTCTGGCTTACTTAGCATTGCAGTTCTTTGAAGTCAAACTGAAGTGGGATCCCTGGTCGGCTCCATCTTTGAAGAAGCTTTAGCATACGCAGTACTTGGCATAGGCTGTACTTATCCAACTACGTGGAGCCTGGAAACACGATTCGAGTCTGGCACGGAGTGCGTTCGCTACGGGCAGCCGACTGAAGGCAACCTTATTATGCTCCACTAACATTGATACTAGTTTTGCTAAGACTACTACTTCTACATAGAAGTGCTATTACATGCTTGTAGTAGTAGTAGTAGTAGTAGTAGTAGTAGTAGTAGTAGTAGTAGTAGTAGTAGTAGTAGTAGTAGTAGTAGTAGTAGTAGTCTGCTACTGCTACGGCTACGGATCTGCTACGGCTACGGCTACGGCTCCGGCTACTGCTACTGCTACTACTACTGCTACTACTGCTACTACATTCACTACTACTACTACTACTACTGCTACTACTACTACTACTACCACTACTACCACTACTACTACTACTACCACTACTACCACTACGACCACGACTGATGCTACAACGACGACGACTACTGCGACGACGACGACGACGAGTTAATGCTACAGCGACGACGACGACTACTACTACACTGCATGCGACTTAGACTGCATCGACGACGGCTTTGGTGACGACCTAGACATCTTCCCGAACCGTTGACGGGACCGTCAAAGCACGAAGGCCTGTGTTTCAGGCACATAAGACAAGAATCAAATAGCGGAAGTACATCAGACTGCACCGAAGTCTTACGTCCTCCCCTCCAAGCTCCGAACTATGCAAAAGCTCCAAGATCCAAAGACCAAACCGCACCCAAGATTCGTTTGGATCTGCCTTTGCTTCGAGCAAGATCCGAATGCCTGGGCACAAAGTAGCTAGAGTTCAGGACACCGACCAGCGTTCCGAGCAATGTGTGAAGAAGCTCCCTTAAGACACATCTTCAGTTCGATGGCAACAGCAAAGTAGCGCAAGCTTCGTGCAGAGTCATGCAGCTTACATAGCCCGAATATGAACGAGTACCTTGTCCGACAGCCTGGTACCATAACATCAGAAATCAGAAACAAACAAACTCTAGAGACTCTAGAGTCTAGAGCCCCAAACAGCTGAAAATAGGGGCTTTCCACGTCGCACACATATTGAGCCCGCGACCATCGATGTCGCCGTGCGCGGCACAGTCGCAAACTAAGCCTTGGTCCGGGGTGTAAAAGATTTGGGATTGAGGTACTATAGGGGCCTTAGTAATTAGAATAGGGTTTCGGCGCCCATTATTATAATTCAATAAGGAAGCCCTAAACTAGTATAGGTAATGATGAAGGCCCTATAGTCAGAACTTTCAGTTTGAGGTCATGGGCAGCCGGAGCAGCTAGGCTGGCTGTCTTATTATGATTTGATCGACTCTTGCGGCGAGGTGGTGCGCATCCTATGCGTACAACACGTAGCAGTAATCAACTCTTGCGAAGTGATCTCATGCTATCATGCTACGGGTTTTTGACAGTTCACATTCCCTTGAGTGGAAACCACATGGGACGTGGTATGTACGAGGATTCTTCTTGTTCGTCGCAGTGATCGTGGCGACAAGTTATCTATCCACCATCACCTTGGTAAATGCATGTAAACGCAGTTTGAGGACGCCCCCTTACCCTTTGTATGTTAATGTTACCTATACTATTTTGGGGGCTCCTTATTAAAACTATCGTATAATGGGCCACAAAACCCTATTGTAATTCTTAAGGCCCCTATATTAGGAGTACACGAGTTGTTTTGTATGACTGTTGCCTTCACGCGGCGCCCGACGCTGCCTGCCAACTACTCCAGGGTGATCGGCGAAGCAGGGAACCAAGAAAGCTCTTCTGCACTGCCACTCTGACCTTTGGTTAATAGGGAATGGAAGAATGGTAGCAATATAGTAGTTATAATTGTGCACCATTCCTCCATTCCCTACCAACCAAAGGTAAGACTAAGACTGTACACATCCCAAATCTATTGCGAGGAGCCAGTCAGAGCAGGCTGCGGCAGACATTCCAGCGCACTTGCCGGCGGCAGTTTGGTGCGCACGAACGGGTGAGCATCACCACAACCTTGTCAAGCTTCATAGCCTAATTCGCATTATATAAATAATCAGACTGGGGTTTGGGTAAATAATCAGACTGGGGTTTGGGGGAAAGGAGAGTACACATGCCAAACGGAACCCTAAGGAATGACACTGGTAACTATTCTACCAAGCTTGCTCCTTAGACACTGTCAACGTCTCGCAAGGCAAGCAGTCCTGGAAAGTTGACGAGGGAAGCGCTAATCAATATTTTGCGCTTTGTCCACAGTCCTGTAATCTTTGCTGCTATCCGGGTGCAGGCACGGCTGGCACTGGAAAACCTACACTCCTGGGTGTATTGTTTGTTATGGTTTAAGGAGATTTTCTATCTTGGCGCTGATACTCCCGCTAAAACCTAGCAGCTCGAGCGGCCCTTTGTCATAAGTCACAAGTATTGCTCAACTATCGTCAGAACCGCCTGTCTTGAATCTACACGCATGCTGCCCTGGTCTTGCAATTTTGTCCAGCGTGAATATTGAAATGCGCATATGCAGATGAGGCACTCATGGAGGCTGCCAGGTTGAGAAATCCGCAAGGAGGGCGGCAGAAACACAAAAATGGCTGCGGTGTGATATCTTCTCTTCAGAGCACTTTTTTGCATAGTCTTGTTTGAAGTCATTCCTCGTACTTGGGCTGCACTTGGAGTGGGTTGTGCTTTGCAGAGCAATATAGGGCCTACATAATTACCACTACTATTTTGGGGGTTCCTTGTTATAACTATATAGTATCATGGGCCCTAACACCCTATCCTAAGTATGAAGGCTCCGATAGAAATTAGGCTTCGCATGCACGTGTCCGGAGGTCGGGGCCGTTCTGGCGGGCCTCGATTGCGCAGCAAGGCCACCTGACTGAGATGCGGACTGCGCACGCGAGGCCAAGGGGAACAAGGTCCTGATCAGCCCGTCAAACGTCCCGACTCACCCGGTCAGAGCTTAGTAGAAGTTATAAGGGATGCATTTTCGTACCCTAGGATCAAGCACCGCAGACACGCACGCGTGCGAGTAGTATGTGGACTTATTGATGGTCAGCAGTCGTATTTGTAAAGGACACCCCTGGTAAATAAAGATCAGCAACTGTTTCTAGACTTTATGTATGTAAAAACGTATGTATATACACGTAACACTAAAACAAGATGTGCGAATAATATGGCATGAGCCCACCATATGGACCACCTTGCACGCCTCGCGCCTGCCGCACGCGCCTAGTGCTCACATCGGCTACGAACTCTCATGTTGTATCACACTGCCTTGCATGCATCGATATGTATATATATATATATATGTATGTATATATACACACACACACACACATATTTCATTTCATATACACACACACTATATATATTTTCTGTAACTGAATATGTGCTTAGTGGTTTTAAGTATTCAACTATTTCTACATGCATGCATACAGAACTACCTAAATATGTACATGCATGCATGTACACATACACTTACAAACATACATTACATTACATTATTTACATTACATTACATACATACATACATACATACGTACATATGTACATACACATCATTTAAGCCTACGCATGCCTGGAGACTTGAGACACATACGCAGTGCATGAAGCATCAACATGGTCATGAAAGGCGCCTAGAGTTACACAAAAGGCGCAAAGGCATGTAATTAAGATATTCCACATGCCTCTGCTACCTGGCCTCTCATGTCTTGACCTCTACCGAAAACAGGTCACCCCTCCACATGTAGCAGCTGTCCTTCCAGCATGCTGCAGTGCTGCTGCGCTGCTCATTGCCATCACTTTGGGCTTGATCGGGAGAGATATGCTCGGGAACGTCGACTCTGAGTTTGGATCCAGCACAATTCAAGGGGACCCTTCGAACGCCTTGAGAGGATGGCTTCGCAGTTTTATACTACCATGAAGACACGCAGTGGGATGCGACGGCTCGCAGACCTCATTGGCCCAAAAAGGCGGCAGTCTCGAGCAGTCTGGTCAAGGATGTGACATCGATGCCTCAAAGTGCTAGGACAACACAAAAGTCCGCCGAATAAGAGCTGCGGATGGTGGGACTGGAAATGAGATCGAGGAGCTCCGCGAAGTGTCAACTGGGCCTCAATCCTTTCCAACATGAACTCCGTGCATCATCCCAAGAAACCCCGCTCAAACTCAGAGATGCCATGTGCAGGAGGAAGTCTTCAGCGTTACTGCAACACGGAACCTTGGGCCAACTCTCTCAAGCTAGGCCATGGGCCCTGTCGAACTAAACCCTACAAACCCTAAGCCCTACATCCTAAACCCTAAACCCCCTTGGCCAACTTCCCTGCGAGGGGGCTCACCATCTCCAGCGTATCCCAAGCGGATTTCATGGTCTCCCCATAGTTGATGCCCACCCAAAGTCCTCGCAAGGATGCTGCCAAAGAATAAACGGTCTTTCGATAATAATAGTAATAGTAATAGTAATAGCAATAGTGAATTCATGGTTCTGTCCATAGGTGCTGATTCCGCAGGACTTTTCCTTCGAAAAGTACCTTAGATGAACCAGAAATATGTGGCCGCGGCTCCGACTTTGCACGCAAGTATCCCGCTTTACGAACAGTGGAAACGATGCTAACGACAATGTCCAGGTTATGTATACATACACATATATATATATACACATACACATACAAATAGAAAATAAATAAATAAATAAATAAATATATATATATATATATATATATATATGCTCACACCCCCCCCAAGACCTACCGCGAGGTGCTTCGGCTAGCAATGGGTAGTAGAACATGTAAGGATTTGAGGAAACCATTAGGATAAAATACACTCATACATAAACAATGGAAACGTATATCGTGTATAATCAATAGCTGAATACACTGTAATGACCTACGACGGCGCGACATCGCCGTTGGCGGATTTGGGCAAGCTTCAATGC